GAATTACGTTGATTTCGCGGAATGATGTGCCGCAGTTCACTCAAGAGTTTTGATCTTAGAAATTGAAGATATGTTGCACTGGTTAACCGTGTCGGCAAATAGATCGGGCCGATAATATGGTTGCCAATGATGCCTGCCCAGACATTAACGGTGAATCTTCCTTGATTAAATTGTTCCATCATCGCATGGGGGTTGCGGTACGCCCAAATCCTTGCGTTCTGCCGATTGAGGATGTTGCTACTCGAAAAGCTGCTCTCATCCGTGAATAGGACACGTTCCAAAAAGCGTGGATCGTGTCGCAGTTTATGTAACATCCAGTTACAAAATTCTCGCCGTGTGGCATAATCATTAGGGCGTAGGGCTTGGACACGTCGAATTTTATATGGTCGCAGACCTTCTTCGCGTATTATACGCCGCACTGTCATGTGCGAGATTCCTACTCTTCTCGCGATGCTCCGTAACCCCATCAGTGGATAAGCTCTTGCGAGAGCTATAACTTTTTCTTCTTTCTGCCAATGCACTCGAGGTCGACCTGCTCCGTTACGTCTTGTATTAAGCTGCATCACGATTTCCTGCTCCTCGAATTGATAATCCAGTCGCGCAAAATCACGTCTATCAGGAATTTCGTTGGGGTGTAATCGTCTTCCATTGTTCCGCACTAAATCACGATAAATCTTACGAACTAAAGAATAATTTCGTCCCGCTTCGTCAATAGCACGCAACATAACTCGAATATTTTTATACTTCGGCATCTTCACTGTTTGGTGATTCCGAATAAACTGCCTCTTTACGGAGTTCGAAACCGTGCGAGATGGAGGGGTTTCCTATTGAAATCATAAAAACTACAGAGGAAAGAAAGAAAGGAAATAAGGAAACCAGGGAGAAAAATAGAGATGGGGTGAACATCACATCTATAAGTTCAACAACCGAGTGGCCGTTCGGATAGAACCTACACCAATTCACGTGTAATGCTGATCCGATACTTTTTATGACGCTCGACCTCGAGGCATGAAGAAAAAAGGACAGAAACAAAGAGCGGCAGAGAGGAAGAAGGATGGACTGAAGGAACGAACGAAGGAAGGAAAGACGGAACTAAGAAAGAAGGAAGTAGGAAACAGAGAAAGCAAGAACGGAAGGAACAGAGAAAGGAAACAAGCAGCAGCAAAAAGAAGTGGACGAACGAGAAAATAAAATGCTTAGTGGGGAAGCTGGGATCACGACCTGTTACTATGCGGAGCCGATGCTTTCAATCTTGGATTTAACGCACATTATAAATAAAATGATTTCTAGAACTAATAGAATTTTATCATCACTCTCGGAGAGAACGAGCTGATTTGTTATATCCGGTTCACTAAAAACCTTATTTCCGAGATAAGACAAATGGTGCAGCGAATAATACGATTTTTTGTTCCTCGATCAACAACCTTTGCATCTATATTTTAAATGCAAAACTTCTGCGAAAAAAACTCATTTATATTGTCTGTTGCAAATTGCAACCATAATCAATATAATGATATATTTCACGAGATTCGAATGTTTGATGCAATCCCTTGCGTAATAATTAATTGATGCATTAACTGCGTAACTGCGATGTGTTAACGAACTGTGAAATGATAAAACTAAACATTTATCTTGCGTTTATATTCGAAGTGCAAAACTTCAGTGAATTAAATTCATTCTTATAGTAGTTATTTTGTCTTTTTAAATATGCTCTCTTAGAATTTACCCTTCCTATATGCTGGCATTGTGATTGAAATTCAAGAATTTTCCTATAGCATGAAATTCGAGTGATACGCGAGACTGCCGCGCCAAGATCACTGGAGAGGGGTACCGGGCGACTCAACGTTTAATGCATTATGGTATATGGAAACGTTGACGGCTTTTTTCTAGGAGAAGGGTTGATTTCCGGCACATGGTTCCTTTCAGACTTTTTATCCCCTCGATGAGCACTATACGACAAGCCAATAAAAAAGTTTGACCTTGAAATTAGGGGTCAAGGTCAATTTTGCGGTCGCTTTTTTTGACAGATCTCCACCGATCCAGAGGTGTAGAATCACCCCATATAGGTCGTGACATTTAATTTTTTTACACCCTGTACAAGAGACTTGTGCCTTTGATTCTTTTTACAAATTTTTACAAATTTTACAAATTATCGCCAGTGGAATCGCAGCGAATATAGAATATCGGAGAACAATAGAGTCATCTTCTGATAAAATTTTTCAATTAGCACTTTCTATTTTAGAAAGCGGAAAAATACTTACTGCGCATTATATAGAACGTGGATCTATTTTACAAGATTTGCCCCTTTTTCAGAAAGCAATTACAACTTTTACACAAAATATTAAACGGCTAAATGCTAACTGTAATGCTGCTCATCTCTCGGAATATCTTTTCAGAAATAAATGTAGTTATATGTACACCAAATCTTGTTCTTGCGGAACTACGGAATCGCGTGAAATCATTACATGCAACGTAAATGTGGATATACTTCTGCAACAAGGTCTACACCAAATGCAACGTGCTATTGATGATATGAAAAATATTAAAGCCAAATGTCGTACATGTAACATGCTGTCAAAGTGTGATGTTACATATGGTAAACACATAATAATAGATACTTCCATATTTACAAATTACAAATATATTAATAACAAGTTGGTCACTAAACACGACTTAAATTCCACAGCAAAAATTATTACTTTAAATGACATAAATTATATTTTGGCAGGAATAGTTCATTATATAAAAGGTGGACATTATGTTGCCTTTGCATATGCAGGTACACATTGGTACGAATACGACGATATGGAAAAAAAACGTACAGTTGCAAATCCGATGCAAGAAATAAGTCCACACGTTATTCTATATGTTAAACACAATACTACCCCGTAAGACAATTTCACACAGTTCGACCATTCCTGTATTCTGCGACGTCCTCGTCGCTGCACACACACACACACGCACGCACGCATACAGAGATACTCGTACGTCTATTTCACATATATTATAATACTACTATTACATATTTAAACTAATGTCATGTAGGCAGATTGTCTCATTAAACATGCCTCCTCCTAACATCTTTTAACATTGTGAGAAAAGGAAACTCTCAGACGAAAATGCCACCTGCTCTGATGTTCCACGTTCCTTCCCCCATCCTTCAGAGTCTTTAACGTTTTTCAGTACGTTATACCAATTCACCCATTTTCTAACAAACTCTGTGGATTTCCTCACGTAACCCAGCCTTATCATCGTAGACAGGATGTAGCGCTGCGACAGACATAACAAAAATTAGAGACAGGTTACCATCGCTTCGACGGCGATTCATTCTAGTTAAAGCTACCGACATATACGGACAAAGCAAAATTAAATCAAAAGTATTAAAACATTGTGTAATATTCACTTACCTGCGTTACTGTCACTTAACTCTCGCGTCCGGATATCTTGCTCGCGAATACGGTGGAAAACTTACCACGGGCAGGGAACGTTCGCGGACGCGAACGTCTTGTAGAAACGGGTGCGACCCAAAATGGCGACCCGATACAAAAATGTCTAGTAACGTCGAAAATAAGGCAAGCACGACGCACTTTGAAGACCTTTTACGTTTTGGTCGAGGGTTAATTCCTCGCAGAGGAACTGATTACGCTACCGGCGCTTAATTTGGCTCTCTGAGCCGACTCGATGCACGATGGGTTTTAAAGCGTAACTTCGGAAAACATCCACGTGCCTGTTACCTCATCGAGGTTTAGAAAAGGACTCGTCGTCGTAGGCTGTTCCTCGAGATCAGGTTGACGTTAGTGGATATGTAATGAGCACGCTGATTGGTCGAAACTGATCGTATGACGTTAGACAAAGAAAAAGGCTCGCTTATTGCCGAAAACATTTGTAAACATAGTTTCAATAGGTCGGCAATGTATTACGCGTCTGTTGCTAGAACGAACGCAAACACAACACGCGGAACCAAATTTGATGATAAGTGAACAAGTCTTCTCAGATATATAGTGGTCGATATTATCGACAACCTTGATCATTCATTATCGACAATCTTGAACAGGTAGTCATTAGAAAATATTTAAAGGTACTTAATATTTAGAACAAATATACGCGTTAATGCTTAAACAATTAGAAAGCAGCACCAACAAGGAGATTTGAAAAATCTTCAACAATGCCAAAGTTACCCCTTGAGGGTTTTTTCTTTCAAAATTTCCTTTTGTTTCCTATATCGGCCGAATGTGTTTCGATATGCATATGCATTCAGGAAATACTCTAGTCGAACGCAGAAACGGTCTTTGATGTCTTTAAGATAGTCTATCTTTTGGAGACAACTCAAATTAATATAACAAATTCCTTCCTTGAAATCAACGTGGTCCCACGCTCTGAAAAATACGGATCATCTATAAAAACAAAAAAGTTCTGGTCACTTTAAGTTTCTAGTTCCCAAGTCCAAAAATGAAATTTTTTGAAAAATCCAAAGTTCTGATGAGAGTTCCATTTGGACCCCGAAGAGTACTATCGGAAGTTATTATGGTCCGATAACGTAAAGTCGAAAACAAAAAAGTTCTAGGCCATTTTAATGGAAATTTGAGGTGCCAGTTGCGAGATTAGACATTGTTTTTTTAATATTTCGCAGTCGGAACTAATGCTAAAACCTATCAGGAACTGTAGAACTATTTGAAAACTATAAAATAAAATCAAAATGTTATTTTTTTAAGTTTTTCGCCGGAACTATTTCTGAAACCTATCAGGAACTGTAGAACTATTGCGGGTGCAACTAGAACTGTTGCTAAAAGTTTTGTTTTTTGAAAATGAGGTGCTAACTTCACAGACGCTTTCCACCATACCTAATTCTGTTACCGGAAACTCATCATGTTTTAGCAAACAAATATTGTGTAAAACACAACATGCAAAAATGAAATCTGGTATTAAGTCAACACGTTCCATATCAAGAACAGTGAGTTGACTTCTAAATCTTCCTTTCAGTAACCCAAATGCCCTCTCAATTGTAATTGGAGCAGATGCATGACAAAAATTAAAATTTTTTTGTTTTTCTGATAAATGACCATTATTACGAAATGGAATCATTAAATGATTGTGGATTGTATAAGCTGCATCGCCAATTATATGACTGTTATTTGAAATACTCTTTGATCATGGATAGAACCAACGTGACCAGCAAGACAATGAGTAAATTGCAGTTCATTATCACAAATAGCCTTTAAAAAAATAAGTAAAAAAGTATATAATTAATTACATATGTATACACATATATATTTTTTTCCATCTACATATATGCTAATTCAACGATACCTGCAAATGTATAGAATGATGTCTTTTTCTATTTATATAACATTCGGGATTGTTGTATGGTGCTCTAATATTAATGTGTGCCCCATCAATTGCACCTATGACATTAGGAAAAGCACTACACGCAGTAAATCCCTTAATAACTTCCTCTGCTCTCTCTCCTTCCAGCCATCTAATAAAAAGCAGACTCAGACTTACAATAGCTTTTGTAACACTTCTTACAGCTTTTAATGCAGTTGCTTTCCCAACATTAAATTTTGCACAAATAGATCTGTCGAAAAAGATTTTGTACATATTGCAATGTTTTACTATCATATAAAAAGAGTACTTTGAAAAGTACTTTGACATACCGATATGAATCTGGTGTAGCCATTTTCCATATAGCAATCAAGAACTGTTTTTCAGGCGATATTGTTTTATGACCTGTTTTGCCGGACCTCGTAACCGAAGATTTTATAATATTTAGAACATAATAAAAAATTGAACGACTCATTCTAAAAAAATATTTGTTTTGGAAATTATAAAGTATAACATAATAAACATAATAATAAATAAAATAGAATCTAGAAATTATATAAACATAGAGAAAGCTATACCAAACAAGTTTTCTCTAATATGTCTGTATAACTTAATAAAATTTATTTTCCTTAATCTAATTAATTTTAAATTAATTTCTTTAAAATTTGAGAATAAAAGAGATACTTAAACATTTTCTTTTGTAAAGAAAATATTACTATATATACCTAAAATGGTCTTTAAATTGTTGGTTATTGTAATTCTGAATAATTTTTTCAGCAAAATTTTGTAATCGTAGTATTGGTTTCAGTTTAGGGCGAGCCAGAAATAGGCACATTTCTTCTAACTTTTCCTTTGTTAAGTTTCGATATTTTTCATCCTCAAGCATATCCAATAACATTAATGCTTGTGCAAATATTTCAATGATTAATTTCTTCTTCTCGTCCATTTTCGCTTACAATAGCCAAAGTGAACAATTCTAACTTTTTTCATGTGAGCGCTCAGAAACCAAAGGAAACGTTGAAAATAGTACTCATAAACCAAAGGAAACGGTTGAAAATAGCGCTCATAAGCGTGAGCTCCCAAAGCGAACGCAGCCTTAGTCACACAAAGTGATCCGATTACATCGATTACATTCATAGACGAAAATTGAATGCAACAGTTTACACAACGCAGGAATCTGAAACCGCGAATACTTTTGATTAAAGCCCGTACACGACAAGCAATAGCAATAGATGTCATAAATTCCAATCTGAAAGAAGGATATTTACCATGTGTTAAGAGGTAGCGAGAGGTCCTTGTCGGCGTGGAGTCCGAACAAAAAATAAATTCAAACAAGAGGTAGTGGTCGAAAATCTCGTCAGTTTACGTATTATAAAATAGTCAACTGTTCGTGAGGACGGCCGTTACACCTGGTGAGGCAATCTGTGCGGTCAAGAGGTACAATAGGTTGTCTTCGGCACGTCACTCGAGGTTCACAATGCAATTTCAGGTGCACACACACACATTCGAGGAAACACCCAACGCAGGAGGAATTCACGAGGTCGTTCTAAAGTCTCCTTTTTAATTAAACGAGGTGTCCGTTACGCGTTCGAAGGCACGTGGCTACGATGCGGGGCCCGTACACACAATTTCCACCAATTCACGCGAGGTGATCGTCGGAACAAGGAAAACCGATCTTCCTGGTCGTGAGGCGACGCAGAGGCACTCAAATTATTCGAAGATACACACAATAGATTACTAGAATCGCTCGTAAGAATACAAGTTTGCTCAGAGAGATGCTAACGTGACCGTGTACAAAGTCAATATGGCTACGCGGCACGTGTCGTTCGCTCGAGGGCTGTAGTACCCGAAAGAGAACACGAGGCGGCGACACCTCCCGGACGGGCCCCTGTACTGAGGTGACCATATATACGCCTTTGACCGGACGCTCACGCAACGTCATGAATTGATAATGTTAAGGGGGTAGACACGGCACGTGACCTCTCCGATTTGGCCGGTCGGTATTACAGCAGATTTTTCTGCACCGAAATGGTAATACCCATAGATGTAGGGCAGGCCGATGAAAACGAGAGGGCGCTTTTGGCTAATTCTATATTCTATTCTGAATGTAAAAGAAATAGTCAGCTGTCGCATTGTATTTGACAAAATTTAAACGCAAAGTTTGGTTGATATTGCAAGCGTATAAAATTGAATGTACTTTTAATTAATTACAATGTGTTTATGCTACAATATATTACGTTGGAGTGAGGAACTACAAGTGAAAAGGAAAAATAAAAGATGGAAAATCCCAGAAAAATAAAGTTCCTTAGTTTACACATTTTTTTATATAAAAATACTAAATAGTTAGGTTGGGGTTATATTAGTACATAAATAGCGAATGGATATTTAGATAAAAAGGGATTAAAATACTGCCTAGTAAAGTACAAACATTTTTTTATTAACAAAATACTACAGCAGAACATGAACGCTATACACTTCGAAGATAATTAAACATCCTATGCAGAAAGCAATTATTGAATAAGCATTATGTATAAAATTAGGTTCAGACGATACCGGATCTCTTGAACTATCATGATGTACACCCTGGTTTGATCTGTAAAAATAAATAAGTTTCATAACAAGTACTTTTTGAGTTTATACTACTTGAATGTAAAAACTGGTACCTACACTTCCTCGCGAATCCACTATTACTTTCCTATTTCTCACCGATATTTCTTGCAATGGTGACTCCTATCCATTATACTAAATTGTCATTGAACCTACGATAAAAAGTTACAATGAGTTCTAATCAATCTGGATGCACTAAACATGTAAATGTATGTGATTTACTTATCTTTATGCTTGCATTGTGAAGACCTGCTTCATTTCCTCCCTTCGTAGAATAGGATTTTCACCATTGATACTGGTCACTGAAAATAATTAAAATAAATTCATATATGAAATTCATGATAATTTCCAATTAATCCAACTACTTCTATACCAAAAGTATAAGTGTCATACTTACGCTGTCGTACATTGTACTCTTCCTGTGCAAAGTAAGGAAAACTAGCTGCAAGTATAAATTATTAGGAGAGTGTGAAGAGACCCACCACCACCCCCGTCATAGACGGTCCTCTTCACTCTCCAAATACTTTCATATTTACATTCTTTTACGTACTTACATTATTTCGTACTTTTATTATTCGACAGCTCTCCATATTAGCTGAATGCACTCGTCGGTGCATTAGTCACTTTGTATTGCATTTTCTTGTTTGAAAGCTCTTCATATGAGCTGAATGCACTCGTCTGTGCATTAGTGACTTCGGGTTGCAGTTGTTTCTTTGACAGCTCTCCATATGAGCTGAATGCACTCGTCGGTGGATTAGTCACTTTGTATTGCATTTTCTTGTTTGACAGCTCTTCGTATGAGCTGAATGCACTCGTCTGTGCATTAGTGACTTCGAATTGCAATTGTTTCTTTGACAGCTCTCCATATGAGCTGAATGCACTCGTCGGTGCATTAGTGACTTTGAATTGCAGTTGTTTCTTTGACAGCTCTCCATATGAGCTGAATGCACTCGTTGGTGCATTAGTCACTCTGTACTTGTGTACTTGTACATGCTCCTCCTGTTTTTATATACGCAGGTTCTCTAATTGGCTGGTGTCGATTGAATCTACTATCTATGATTTCTGGCAACATGCAGTCCTTATAAAACTTCTTCAGTTTTTCCTCCATCTCTGTTGCCCAGAATGTATCATTTCTTGGTACTTCTACAATTTTCATTCCTTTCGGCGTCCATAAACAGAATAGAGCACATTGTCTATTCGTTATGTGCAACTGTCCTTGCACTTGATAATAGTAGTGATGAATTTTGTTCATTTCATCACCCCGGAAAATACGCCGTATTGCAGGAAGTTGCTCTATTGCTTCAGCAGGCGATAAATCCTTCGCCGATTCAGGACATTTGACTTCGACGATGATATCATCGTCTACAATGCCATCAGGGGTTGCACCTAAGTAAGGCACAACGGCATCGATGAAGAGGCCGCATGGTAGAATATGAATTCCTAATTCGTCTTCTAATTGCCTCAAGGCGTTTGCCTCGTTCTCTCTTCCGTATTCGAGGGAACGTAAATTCGGTATTTGCGGATACATTATACTCTTCAAAGTATTTGCCCGCGGTGTATCTTTTCGTAATCTGCATATCTTGCCGAAATTTGATGCGGTTAATAATTTTCTCCTGTATGCTATCCACTTTTCACTTTTCGCTTGATCGCGAGTTTCCGCTTCGATGGTGTGTCGCATCGTCTGCCACTCATGGAGTATGGCCATGTGCCTTTCATACTCGGAAGAGTATACAGTCTCTTCCATTGGTTTTGCTGCACTGGGGCCGTAATCCTGGTCGTACGATTGTTTTTGATTTTTGAAGGAGGATGCTTTCGCTTCTTTTTTATATTTAGATGCCATTTCTGCTGCACGCTTCCGACGTTCTTCCATCTTTCTTACGATGTTTGTCGGCTCTTTATTCATTGCCATACTCAATTTACTAAAGGTCTGTTTTGTGTTAAATTGGACGACAGCAGCGGAGACTCTACCCTGATATGAGCCTCTTCATCCAAAGTTTATCCTTTTTCCTCCGATGAATTTGGCAATTATATTATTAAAGCTTTCTACAGCATTATTATATAAAGCGTACAACAAACTTTCAGGTTGAGCGAGGAGTGGCTGCATCGCTTCTTCAATGCTTTGATATATACCACCTTGCTTCAATCGTGGAACATAATTCACTCTGTTCGGATCAGAATATTTGGTGCAGAAATATGCTAACTTCTGACACTCCTTGTGTTCACCGAAAACATGACTCGGTACATTTTTCATGCCCTCCTTCAAATTTTTTATTTGATCGACTAGTCTAATTTTTTCTTTGAACCGGTATTCTGCAGCTTTCTTTATTCCAGTACGCAGCCGCAGAGCATTGTCCTTTACTACAGCTCTTAGCTCTTTGTAGCGGCCTTTTGCTACGATATCGTTTATTTTCCTACTGAAATTCCGTAGCAGGTGATTGGTGCATTCTATTTTCCGTATATGCACCATATAATCTTTATATGGATCATTGTCCAATATTTTCTTGTACACGCTGCTATCGCCATCGGCAAGTAATATAGAATATACTAGGCCGTGCATTTCTAGGCTGCATTTGAATCCTTCAACGATAGCAGCACTTTCCATACCGGTTGAACTTTGCTGACGACCCCAGTTCTTGAAACAGCGATGTTCGCGCGCTGCTTCTTTCTTTTTTGCAGCTGTTTGGCAAATCATACAAAATTTATTTTTAACGCTGATATACAGCACTTTTTTCGTATGATATCCCACGATGGCTCCTACGCCAGAAAGAGAATTGTAGTCTCCTCCGCGGTACGATCTTCTCATCCAGCTGCCATCTGCGACAACTGGAATCCACGGTATATTATAGCCTGCAAGCACATCGCCTCTTGCAATAGCCAATTCTCTTTCCTCTTTTCCAGCTTCTTCCATTTCTTGTTGTGCGGCCACTTCGAAGCCGTCGATTATGTCATCCTGACATTTCTCGTACATCCTTTTTGTCATGCAAGACATGTTCACACCAGAGAGTAATTCCTCTAGTTGATTATATCCGCCGCCCGTAACCATTGTTACAGAAACAGCGGCATGATTAATATCCATAGTGGCATCATTCTTTCAAAGACACGGAATGTGTCCTACATAATTGCACATTCGGCACTGTACATTATACGTTTTTTCTAAGCCATATTTTTGACATCCAATTATTTCGAAATGTTCGATGCCACAGCCAATAGGTGAATGATTTGCAAGATTTTTTATTTCCTCGAATATATATGCAAAATCAGCAAAATCTATTCATTCCGAAATTGGTTCTTTTGGCTGTTGTGGTTCGGCTTTCTCTACCACCCAATTTATTTCTTCGTCTTCATCGGTGGTATTCAATTAATCTTCTCCTGTATAGAAATCTCCTTCTTGTACAATTTCTTCGATAGTTGCCATTTCTTCAACATTTTGTATGTTTTCTTCATATAATCTTTCCGTAAAAAATCCTTGGCAGCAGATGTGCTTGCGATTGTTTTTTCGGAGGTACCTACACAGGTACTTGCTTCCGCCGCGGTACCTTCACTTACCGTGAGGCATGCTGCCTTTTTCAATTGTTGCCTGCAAGGAAAGTGTTAGTAATCAGTAGTGTTGCCTCGAAATAAGCAACTCGCTAGGGGTCGAACAGTTGTTTATTACGGAGCAGGTATGCTATACCGTTTGACTTTGTTCTCGAAACGGAACGATAGAGAACACGAGAAACGAGTGAGAGATCGGAGATAGCGGCAAACCATAAAGTGATCGGCCGAGCAGCGATGTTATTTTTTGAAAAGAGATAGAATATAACATGTTCTCTCATTTTGGCACTAATTGTAAGCGCTTCCGAATGAACGTAGAATCACACGAATGAAACACATCAGAATCGCTAATGCCAGAATCAGAAAGGATTACATGTGTTATAGATAATAATTATACCTAAATTCAGATTCTTGTTATAAATTTTAATTACGATTTGATTTTACAAGAATTGCTACTGTGGGAACTGTTTGGTTTGCCACTCACTCTAAATCTGATCGCTCTGTCTTTTATAATTGCCGGTTGCTACACACGCTTCTCTCTCATTCTCACACTCATTCTCTCTCGCTCTTTCCTCATCCAACCTATCATTCGCTCTGTTTGAAATGCATGCGATCACTCATTCAGTGTTTCACATTCGCGCACGTTCTCTCTCTCTCTCTCTCTCTCTCGGGCTGAAGTCTCGGTCGAGAACGATACAGTAAAACCAGGATATATGCAACAGAAATTGGGACCGAAGCATTTCGTTTATAGAATCGAGGTGTCGAATCTCGGGTTACACGCGACGACCAGCCAAGCGTGAACGTAGAAAGGGACAGACACTGGCGGAAAGAGAGAGGTCCGATGATGAAAGGAAAGAGCCGAAACGTATCGGTGTGACTAATACTAATTCAACTATCAAACTTTTTTATTTTTGACTTTTTTTTATTGAAACTTTTACTAACGCATTGGTGAATTTTTTCTGATTAAAATGGTACCAAACACGATACAGTTTCAATTATAATTACTTGCTAAAATTGATGTTAAAGGCTGGCGAAAAGCAACAGAGATCGAAATCAAAACCAGTCGCGGTGTCGGCTCTGGTTTCAAAGGTTTCATTTATCCAGGCAAGGTGGCGATTCTGGGCATTTAATGTTGCATTTATCCAAGCGAGGTGTCGATTCTGGACATTTAATGTTGCATTTATCCAAGCGAGGTGTCGATTCTGTGTCTGTACACATGTTTTGTATTCAGCCGACATGCCGATTCTGTGTCCGTACACATGTTTTGTATCCAGCCGACATGCCGATTCTGTGTCCGTACAGATCTTTTGTATTCAGCCGACAGTCGTGGTGTCAATTCTATGTTGTTTATTCTATTACTGTGGTTTATAAATATAATTCAAACTATATCATGTTTGGTGTCATTTTAATCAGAAAAATCTCACAAATGCGTTAGTAAAAGTTTCATTAAGAAAAAGTTAAAAATAAAAAAGTTTTATCGTTCAATTAGTATTAATCACACCGATATTACGGTCAGATCATATTACACGGTTTTCTCATCGAGCGGCTCGGTTCGTCTAAGGGGATCCGCCCAAGTGGGGGGGATAGCGATGTTGCACTTATCCAAGCATTCTTTCGTTGCATTTATCCAGATTTTACTGTATCTCTTCCGCGAGGGGCTGCAGGGTGGTATTTCATTTTATGGCAAGTTGTAAACTAATGAAGAAACGAAGGGGTCCGATAAACACGTGTTCGCCTTTCGCGAAGTAAACCCTGCTTGACCGCGTCGATGACAGAAAGCAGACCCACTCAATTGTCAGAAATATTTTCTAAGCAGTTTTTAGAACTATTCACAATTGACTAGTCAGTTTTGTACACATGTTTAGGAGGTCAAGGAAAAGTTTTTGACAATATTATGATGACACTATAGTATTTTGTTAGCGAAACAATATTTTTACGAAACATTTGTATGTTTACATAAAAAAAT